GTTTGTTTTCGCCAGGTTTAAAAGAGATTACCTCTCGGACATCAACCAGTATGCTTCAGCTGGCCAAGAGAACGCCGTCGTAGTCCTGTGTTAAGAGTGATCTACAAATCTATTCATCACACACTTTTAATCGAGACTGAAGTAAGCTAAACAAGTAAATTATCCGAATTTTTAACTTCCACATTTGTATTACCCTCCACAGAGGACTAATATCCCTAACATTCTTAGGTCTGTGTAGAATATTCAAATGTACAACAACTCGTTGGCTATGGCACCACGAGTTTAAGGCAAATATGCATAAGGTAAATATATGAAGAGTAAGATCGTGTGGCCTTCTGTTTGGCCGCAGTCTCCTTTAGCTTTATAGTGTTGGCCCGATCTTGTTTTCGCAACTTGGTCGGAGCGTCAAGGAGACCTTGTGGGACGTACCTAGTCCAGTGTCCTCCGCCATAGTATTCGTGAGTTCCACCATTGCACCATTGGCTGGGTACATTTCCAAGCATTTCGCCGAAATCGTCAGTGAGAGGCGCCATTGTAAGCACAGAATTACAACTTATCAAAGTGACAAGTGAAGGCAATCCCCTTGACTAATTTTCTGTTCAACTGCTGTAGCATCACTCATCGCTCCTATTTTGGTTCTACTTTCTAGAGTGGCATCTCTTTGTGTCAACACCACTTCATATGGCCCACCCACTAATTCACACAATTCTGTGCTCTCGTTTCCTCCAATGTCGCCTAAGTGTGCCGCTACACTTTGGTTTAGGGAAACGTAATCATCTCCACCACCGTTACCAGATGCTGTTTGCAGGGCTCCTGACCTACCACACCATCTTGGTTTTCATATCTACGATCTAATTACGGTGGTAAGATTTCTAGTCATTGCACTGATTACAGCAGATCAAGGAAAACAATAGTAACTCAATCATATAATTTGATCTTTCTTAACTGTTGTAGACTTTATTGAATCCCTCCTAGTTTCCGCAATTTGATGAGAAAATACCATTCCGATAAGGTCAATGCGATAGTTTATCAAGCTTCTTTGCAAAAAACAGAAGAAACATATGATAGGCAGAGAAAAATTATTTAAGTTTTTATATATTAAATCTCGACTCGAGCATGATTTGAGTCAGATTCTTACACTGGAGGATTTATTGAAATTACAGAGGATGATAGTCAAAATGGCGAAAAGGATATCAGAGTTAATCAAAAAGGCACCAGAAGGAGCTCAATAAATATGGAATCTGTAAGCAGCCCAAGGTCCAACCATCTGGAAAAAATGAAGATGCCTCTATATTGACGGGTCTCAAAGTACAGACAAGAACTGAGCATAGATTAGTGAATTTGTCTTCCGTCCCTCTTGATCTGGAAACCACAGAGATGCTCCAGAATGGACTAAATTTTGCACTTCGGAATAAAAGAAAGGTCATCAAGGACATTTTAGTGAAGGTGATAAATATCTCTAAAAAGATACATTAAAAATCAAAAAGAGAACTGGAAATGGAAATCATTCAAGCAATCTTGGAACATCAAGAACCCACACATATGGACAATATAACCGAGATATATAGAGAATAGAATAGCGA